CAGCGCGGGCAAGTCCTCGGAGGGCCGCGGCGCCCGCGCCGGGAGAGTCAGCGGGGCCGCCGCCGGCGCTGGAAAACGCTGGTAGAAGTCCTGCGGGCAGGCCTCTGTGGGGACAGGGAGGGGCCTCAGCACCTGCGGCGCGGGGCGGGGTCTGACCGCAGGGACCCGCCTACGCGCCTCCCGGGCTGGACAGAGCAGGGATAGGTCGCCAGAGACGTGGCTTTCCACGCCCTCGGCTCTGGATACGCGACGGAGTCCCTGCCAGGCGGCCTGATTCAGGGGGTGGGGTAGGGCCCAGGCATAGGTGCCATATAAAAGCTGGCTGGAGCGCAGACCCGCGAGGCTGGGAACTTTGAAATTCTGAACTGAGATCCTCAACCGCACAATCTGGGCTTAGATACCCGGGTGCTATGGACCCGACTCTCTCCGCACAAACCTGGCCACTCACCTGCGGCCTTGAGCGCAGCTGCCTTGAGGGTGGCGTACTTAAGGTATTCTGGCTGCAGCTGGGGGTCGCGCCGGGGCCCCGGTGTCACCGACCCCAGGGGCACGTTGTTGGGGCGTTTCTTGTCTAAAGGGGGGGTAATATGAGACTCAGCCCCCTGACCACAGAACACTATGCACCTGTGATACCTCCTTCACAGCCCCCTCCCCAGCTGCAGTTCAGTGAGAACTTGTGGGGTGGCTTTTGGGCGAGACTGAGAGTGGAACCTGTCTTCAGGGCAGAATCTCCAGCGCTTGGAAACCGGCCTGGCTCATGAATAGCGGCCAGTCCCAAGTGGGTGCTATCCTAACGGACGATTCGCCCAGCATGTTCGACTTGAGCCAGGCACTGAGTCCCAGGACCTGCTGCTGGAGGAGATGGAAGGAATGTCTGAGGATTAGAGCCCACACAGCGGAGTTGTGTGTACGTGGGACCGGATGTGCTGTCGAGCCCATCTTGCTAACAGGAGGCCAAGAGGAGGCTGCAGCGTGGAGGAAATGGTCCAAGGAGGTCACAGACCCCAGGAGACCCCAGGGTGCTAACGGGAGCCTAGAAACACTGCCTGAGCCAGGGATCCCTGAATCTGGAACCTTCCTCACAAAGTCCCTGAGGCTGGAGGATGCAGGACCTCTCGGATGGTCCCTCTCCACTAAGGGGAGTGGCCCAGCTTGCCCAGCCCCTGTACACACCTGCAGTACACACCTGCAGCACACACCTGCAGCAGCAGGCAGCTCATTTCCATTTGGGAAGCAGTCTGCTCAGAGCCTCTTGCCCATCATCACGCCCCTTCCCTTCCTCCCTGGCCCTTGCTCCTAGACGAGCAAGCTCCTGTGCTATAGATTAACAAGTGCCCGCCCACCAGCCCACTCACCTGTGCTGTTGTGGGGGGAGCTCCGGGGGAGGCCATCAGCCATCTGCACCTGGACACAGCTACCCAGGGGTGGGCCCAGAGGCGGGGGCAGTGGCTCTTGGGGGCCTGACTGCTTCAGAAGTTCTGTCAGTGTCCTGTGGGAAAAGAGTGGTGAGAAGCAGACCTCCCAGCCTCCCACTTCCCCATACGCGAAGCTGTGAC